TTTTTTCTCTCTCTCTTCTCTATCTATGTCTGTCTCATAACTTTCTACCGTATTATTTACAAAGACGAGCACCGTAGCATCGCTCGGTCAGCCATCTTGTACTCCCCGCGTCCCGCGGAGTTTAGCTTCTTCATCCCCCTTGTTGCCCAGCTGCGGATTAAGCTTTCCTTTTTTAAAATAGTGGAACGCTGATGAAAAACCGTCGCGTCAGTACCATTTCGTTTTGAACCTCTGTACAGGGTGTCTCGAGTCGGGCCGGCGAGACGTCGGTGGGGGTTGGGGGCGAAGAATGAACCATCTGTTTCGCTCGGTACCGTGACTTCGCTCTCGCCGACCGTGAGTACGCAAGGCTGACCGAGGCATGGGAGGCGCAAACGTTGTTAGTTTTACCGCTTCTGTTCACGACCAGGCTAAACTGGCTGACCTCTACACACAGACACGTACATACAGACACACACGTACATACACGGCTTCCACTTTCTTTCTCTGCGATCACGAAAATCGCGATCTTACGGGCGGTCCCCTGGAATCGGTCCAGACTCGACGGAACACGACGTCATTGTACAAATGATCATATCGACTCCCATTTATACTCTCTTCCTGCCTCTTCTCATGCATATATTGTATATATTGATAATACGCGCTCGCAACCAGTCCTCTCGTGTATTATGAATATATACGGTACACGTTCTACATACGTGCGAGTACGAATGTTCGAAGTAATTGAACGCGCAACACTCGAACAGTGGCAGTTGCCGGCATTCGTCGTCTCGACGAATAAAACTTTACACGGTCTTTTACGAACATTTAAACGATCTTTCTTTCACAGGTATGCAGCTTCCTAGTGCGAATTGACTAACTTGTTAACGACACACTATTTTAACGCTTCTAGATCGGAGATATAGGCTCGGTTTCTTCTTTTCCGTTGGTTGGTTTACCTGTTTCTTTCTTCTCACGTTTCGTTTCTTTTCCCTTTTTCCGTTCTCTTATTCAGTCAGTAGGCTCCAATCGTTGACCACTTGTTCTCCGTTTAGTGTGACAGACTTTGTCGAGTAATGAGCCTTCTTGCTGGACATTTTCCTTTTAATGGACCTAGACTCGAGGTATATATCTACTTAGCTCACGTCATCGCACACATACACGTACAGAGACACGTATTTTTGAGAATTTAGATTTAGTGCGTGTGGTTGGTAAATGGTGTTTACTGTACACGTTTCGTCGGACGATTGTAATCCTGCGATTTCTTTGGAAAAAAGAAGAGAAACAGACGAATCGAATCGTTAAGTCTATCGAACGATTTTTTACCCTTTTACTTACCTCGAGCCTTTTTTTCGGAAACGAAAGTACATCGCCGAATTACTCGCTCGCGAAACTTACGTTAGTGCGCCAGGTTAATTCGATTATAACATTTTATTCCTTTTCGAAGGCACACACACACACAAACACGCACACTCGCATACAGACATACAAACAAGTTGGATAGTTTTGTTCTTAATCGAGCCTGTATTTCACACAGTATAGTTCTGTAATAATAAATAATAACTAGGTTAATGAAAGCAGCCGGAAACGACACGGCCGAGACACGGAGTTTCGTTTGACGCCGCCGTTTGTGTTTCTAGCGACTAAACATTCGAAAATCTTTCCTGGCGTCGCGTCCGAAAGCGACTTGCAGAAATGGCGGACGTCCAAGGACCGGAAGTCGCCGTCGCTCAGCCAGATGGGGCCGGATTCCATGAAACACAAAGTAAGTATACATTGTGCGGCAGCTTCTGCTGTAGTTCCGTGATAAATCAATGCGATTCCTGACCCGTCGTTCCTCGCCGTTCTCTGTTCCAGTTCTCGTTGCAGGACAATGGATCGGCGAAATACTTCCAGGGAGCCATGCACGCGTCGAACATGGGGGAAAAGGTTGCCCAGGTAAGCCGCGTTACACACGGGAAAACTACGACCACTTGAAATCTCTTAATCGTCGACCGAAAACTGCTAACACCTGTACGCGTTGTGTATCGGCTTACGGAACTTCAACCGAGGCGCTGTGAATCTCTATGCAAAGCGCCAGCTTGCCCCGCGATCCTACTTTAGAAACTTAGGGAACGGAGCCCGATACTTTTGCCGGAAGTCCCGAACTTCTGACAGACCGACAGAAACTCTGTTTCCTCGGTTAGCCTCCGTGGTGACGGGAACTCTTCCAGTTTTACGTTTCGTTTCGCCGTACGCTCTATAAAACGATCTTCTCAGCTACCAGCGTCAACGCTGGAAAGATCCCAGTTTCTTTCTTGAACTTTATTAATTTCGATTACCGAGCGCCCGAGGGAAACGCGTTCAGCCGTTAATAAAGGAAGAGCCCAGGAACAGCTGCAGGACATTTGATCGACTCCTCGCGCTCGATGGTAAACGTTAAATATCTTCCGGCGTGCTCCGCTCTGTTTACCGCGAACAATATCCTGGCTAGTTTCGCCATACCGGTGGAAAATGTTGAAAATGTTGAAATACCCTGCTCATGAATTATTTCGCGTCCGTGACTCGGCTATAAGCGGCTTGTCTACCGCACAGTGTCCTATTCTACTGTCGTCCCCATTGATTGACACGTGGCTACGTATTCCCTTGACGTTCGTACGGTTGCCTGACACGCGTCGTCTTGTTCTACTAAACATGACAAACCTTGATGCCGCGATACGTGTGCACGGCTACGCGACATCGGACGATACCATTATCTTTACAACGGAGGCTGCGCTCTAATGCTGCTCGCTTTTACTGTCCGACTTATCGTACGCTGTTCTACTGATTTCATAGAAACTCGTCGTTCACCGTATTTTGCCGGGTACATTATTTATCGGGAAGGAAAAGCTTTCCCTCCCGAAGGCAAGTTCGCCGTATAAAAGACGTATTTTTTAAGCTTTCTAATACGTCTGATATATGGCGGGGCATTCTACTGATTTTTATAGAAAACCCAGCAGGACTTTATTGAGCGCGCCGAGTATCGTATAAACAGGAAGCAAGGAAACTATTCGAGGAGAAATGTCTTTCGAGGGAAACGGTGTGCTTTCATGTAGGTCATTCGACACGTCTGACATATTTCCTGTTATTCCACTGAATCTGGAACAATGTAGACATCTGCCAATTTTTTTTTTATTACCGTTACTCCTCACTCGGCTATAAAGTACCCGCTAATGACCACGGCATTCGCTTTATTATTCTCTTATTATTCTTATTCTTCGTCGTACAATAGAATAATCATTTTCCTTACTCTCGGCCCGACTTGTCCCGCGTTTTTTCACTGACTCCACGAAATGTCGCGTAAAACGTCGATCCTCGGGCCGTCATGTGTCTCCTCTGTCAACGGGGCAAGGCTCGCTGACAATTTCACTGAGGAATTACGATCTTTATCATGACACCCGGTCGTGACACGGCCCTGAGCGGCGCCAATCGGTCTGCGCCGCAGTTTAGTGGGCGGGAATCCCCCGCAGCGTGGGATTTCCGCGAATCGACGGTTGCTTTACGTCGCTGTAACACGTCCGCCTGTGTTACATTGTTTACGAACTTCGTGGAAACGATATGCCCGATAGCTGTTCATCCTTCGAACACCGGCGCGGGATAGAAACAATTCTGGATATCTATTTCGGTGACATCCACCGGTTCCACGTAAACAGATCTAGAAACTTTTCGAGCGTTTTGCGCGATGAAACAACAAACAGATCAATCCGACAGAAAAATATTATTACGACTGGCTATGGATACCCTTCGATTTTATTCATTTACTTATCCCCCGTACAACGTGAATTTATTTATTTAAAATTATTTACAAAGTTATTTTATAATCGTTTTATGACAGGACGCGTTCGATTGCAATGGCTGTTCGAGAACAACTCGTTCCTTTGTTCGCGTTGCGACAAAATATCCATTAACGACCAATTCCCTCGAGATTGCTTCCGCAGTGGAATCGTTCGACGCATCTCGAAGTAGCTTCAAACACGCTGTAACAATATTTATCCCTTCTATTCAGACATTCGTTCTCGGCGAGGCACCTCGATGAATCTGTTAGAAGTCTAGAGCGTGGAAATATATAATACACAGTGGGAATCGATAGAAGGTGTATTCCGTGGCAGCATCCCAAAACTCGTCGACCACGTCGGATAATTTATGACCCTCGTCCGACGACGAGAGTCGGTGACAAAGAGACGTTGACTCTCCACGCCGAATAAAAATTCCTACAAAGGTCTCGTCGGAGATCAAGTGTCCACTTATACTTTGCACAGTTTCTCTCTCTCTCTCTCTCTCTCTCTCTCTAGATCTCTCGCTGTTGCTTTTCTCGACGTTCGAGGGTGAACTAAATCGAAGAGAGCCACTCGATCGTTCCTGCTTAAGGAACGGCGGCCTTTAAACAATTTTCTTGTTTGAAATAGCTTCGATGTCGCGGCAAACCCCGGCTCGGCGCAGCGTCGAATGTCTCCGGAACTCCTCCGCGCTGCCCGGACGTGACGAACATGTTTGCCGGATAATTTCGCGTGCAACAATTGAAAACAACTATCGATCCGGCCAGAGAAAATGTTTGCAGAACGTTCCGCCGAACGAGTACACAGTGATTTTCTTACTGACCGGGAGACAGAGTCTTTGAAAGTTCCTGCATAAGAAACAAAGTGACAATCCGCTGGAATCGATACGGCCGTAGTTGCGAAACTTTTAATACAAAGATGGAGTCCGAGGGAAAAATTGATGAGCCGCGGGTAACCGCCGGACGGCGGAAGCGTCGTAAAAATTTCAGCGTCGGGGCTCTCGTATATTATAACCGCGCGATGCACGTAAGCTTTAGGTTCTTTAAAGCCGCAAAAGTGACTTGTTTAGGTCTTCGTGGCACGATCTTGCCCGCGTACGCGAGACGTTCCGCGCTTCGGAACGAATCCCGCCGATAATACATCGGATGAAGGCGAGTTAGCGGTTAAACGGCGAACTTGAGATTTTTATGGGTCGGCGTGTCGATGAAATTGCTGGCGGCCGCGTTGTTCGTCGATAACTTCGTTTTAATCGCGCGTCGTTCAGGCCCCACCGACGTTTTCTTGACAAAAGCGGACGGGCCAGGACCGAATTGCATTTAGACGAGTTACCGGAGGCTTTCCCTCGCGGCGACGTTCAATCGGCGGAGCTCATCGTCGTCGCTAAAGCTATTTACGTCGGGCGGACCCGAAGCCGCCGATATCGATAACCGATACCGCGCCTGTTTTTTCAACCCCGTCTCAAACAATATTGCGACGACGTCGCGGAAACTATTACGGTGAATTAAACGCTCGCCCATTGTCGACGGTAACAATCGTGTCTGACATTGGATATCCCCCGCCGACCGCGGAAAACATCCAATTGTTCCCGTGAATCCCCCGTTTCCCGCGTGAAAGGAACGGGAACGGATTTTTCGAGCCGTAAGGCTCGATAATTACCCGGGACCGCGCGTGTGCGCGGTTCCATAATTCCTTAATTCGCGGATCCGCTGGAAGATCTCTCGACGTTGAATTCGGGGAGAGGGAAAAGTGGTGCATCCGTTGGTGTGGAGGAAGCGGGACAAGTGGGAGGGGTGAAACTGGGAAAAGCTTATGGCGAACGAGGAAGAAAATCGAAGCGAAAAGTATCGGGTATTCTGGGTCGAGGGAGGGGACGGCGGAAGAACAAAGGGGTGGAATAGAGAAAAAAGGACGCCGTCCACTTACTCGAATCGGCGGCGAAGTGTCGCAAGCCTGGGAAAACAGAATCAAAGGGAAAGGTGCGGGGACTGCACGGTGAAGGACGGAGAATGGCTTAATGAAGAAACTTTCAACCGAATTTCCGGCGTCGCGGAAGAATAGGCTAATTCTGCGTACAAAGAGTGACCCTTGAAACTCGCGGAAACGTAAGATCAGCTGAATCTTCCTAGAAAAGAACAGCATACGAACCACCGAACGAAAGTTATCGTAAAACAAATGCACGGAAATAGATTCAAATAGTTTCGGGCGGTCTCGCCCGAACTCGACCTCTGCAATACCCAGTTCGGAAACACATTACCAAGTGTAATAAACGAAACGTTGTTCCTTGTACGGGAACGGGGCTCCATCGGGATTGACTCGCATTCGCCAGTATCTACATATTGAACTTGATCCCGCAGCTAGCCAGCGTAGTACGAGAAACGGAGAGAGAAAGAAGAGCGGCCGGAATGCCGGAAGAGGGAGACAGAGGTTGCACAGTTTGCGGAGAGGGGTTGGCTGGCGGTGGCTCACCGACAGAAGGCGCTACCGTCAGTGTCGCAGTATCCCCCGTCCTGCCCGGCAGGTTGCACCGTCGCCACTCCGTCCACATCGTCCCCGAAGGAGCACAGAGCACATGTAAACGGTGAATAAGACTGAAGAGGACGACGGGGCGCGCGTGAACGGGGCCGCGGAACGGTGAACGATAAATCGCGGCGACGCTCGACGTCGCTCGGGAACGGAGGAGGCGCGCGGAACGGCCGCAAGGGATTTAGATCACTGATGAAGGATTAGGGTGTCCCACAGAGGAGGGGGCGGGTCGGGATGAGGCTGGAAACGGCGGAGGATCGCGGCCGCCCCAGTGATCGTTGATCGATGACGCTCTCGAAGGAGGGTAAAGGGATTGTTGTCGGTCGTGCTGGAAGGCAACGGACGCATCCATTCTCTGGCGAGGCGAGATCTCGCTCGACCGCGGGCTGCCATTCGATATCGGCTTGGGATAGGTCACGGCAGGGGTGAGTCGTGATCCTCGGTCGATTCGGTCACGGTAAACGCGTGAAAGGGGTGAGAGTGACGCGAGTAGGCGGAGGGAAACGGGTACATCACGCTGGACAGTGATCGCGGCAAGGTGTGAACGTGACGTGAACGTGGACCCGAATAGGTCTGACGCGGTGCAACCTTGAGGACTGCCAGCATCCTTGAACGCCACGTGTTCTCCGGGGATTCCGTAAGAATTGCTGAAGCAAACCG